ACACTTCCCCTCCTGCAGTTCTGAGGGGGGCAGAGAACAGAGTCAGGAGGACCAAGGACACGTCATGGACACACAGGGGAAGGAGACGGGGCAGACGAGCCGGAAAGTCACCCTCACCGAGGTGAGAGGAAGCCACCTCTCACGTCACGAAGAGAGTCGCGTCACGGAGCCCACGGAGAGGTTTAGGAAGAACCAGGAGAGGGTCCCGTCACAGAGTCCACAGGAAGGTTTAGGAAAAACGAGGAGAGAGTCACGTCATGGAGCCCACGGAGAGGTTTAGGAGAAACCAGGAGAGACTCACGTCACAGAGCCCACGGGAGCTTTAGGAGAAACCAGGAGAGACTCACGTCACGGAGCCCACGGGAGGTTTAGGAGAAACCAGGAGAGAGTCACGTCACGGAGCCCACGGGAGGTTTAGGAGAAACCAGGAGAGGATCACGTCACGGAGCCCACAGGGAGCTTTAGGAGAAACCAGGAGAGAGTCACGTCACGGAGTCCACGGGAGGTTTGGGAGAAACCAGGAGAGGGTCACGTCACAGAGCCCATGGGAGGTTTAGGAGAAACCAGGAGAGACTCACGTCACGGAGCCCACGGGAGGTTTAGGAGAAACCAGGAGAGAGTCACGTCACGGAGTCCACGGGAGGTTTAGGAGAAACCAGGAGACTCACGTCACGGAGCCCACAGGAGGTTTAGGGGAAACCAGGAGACTCACGTCACAGAGTCCATGGGAGCTTAGGAGAAACCAGGAGAGACTCACGTCACGGAGCCCACGGGGAGGTTTAGGAAAGGCATAGTCAACAAGGACACATGTCAAAGAGAGCAGAAGCAAATAGGAACTGAAAAATGCCTTTGGGTTTGGCACCCAAGAGGCTGTGACCTGGGAGAGGAAGGTTTTGAATGAGAATCCTGGAAACGTGAGTCAGATTGTCTCCAGCCCAGGGGGAGAAGACCTGTCAGAAGAGGCCACTTCTCCCAAACGTTGGACTTGAAAGGAAAGAAAAGGCTGAGCAGTAGCTAGTGGAAAACACAGGATGTAGAGAAAAATCTTTATATTGGAGGCAGTTACAAGCGTATTTATAAACCCAGAACCAAGAGCCCCTCGAGAAGAGCTGGTTGACGTGTGGAATAAGGGGATAACTAAAGAGGAGAATTTGAGACAAGAAGGCAGGATTACCTTTTCCACTGACAGAGGCAGGTGGGGCAAAATGACAATGTTTTCTGGTGAGAGAGGAAGTAGGACAGGAAAGGACTTTCTAAAGAAGGTGACCTCTGTTTTCTCCATTGGTAGAAGAGAAGTTTGGCTACTAAAAGTGAAATGTTAAACTCTATCACATTACTTTTCTCATCATACAGAAAGCTTATAAATCAATAATTGTAGGATCATGAGAGTTAAGGAATGACTTTTTATTACTGATATCAAAATTAGAAAGCATATTTTGAAACAGTTTTTTAGATCTAAATAACAGAACTTTAAAATCATTTATGTCAAAGAGAAAAAAAAAATGCATAAGCAGAAGCTGTAAACAACCAGTGACCTGGGATCAGGAAGAATTTCACAAAATATATGACAAAGGGTTAATACCCTCAGCATATAAAAAGCTGTAAAAAATCAACAGGGAAAAGATTATCAATAGGAGAACTGACCCATAGGATACATAGAATATTCTTAAAGGGGTGTGTATATATATATACATATATATATATATGTATATATATTTCACTGATATACATATCAGTGAAAATCTGAAATATGTCCAATCCCAGTGATCAAAGTAATAGAAATTAAATCAGTAAATGAGATGGTATTTTTCCTTCATGAAATGGCAGCAAGCTTCAGACTTACACAGCCTTGCGTTGATGAGAGTGGGGAAGTGGGTTTTCTCATATACTGCTGGTAATAGTGTTAAAATAATCCTTTGTAGGGTATAGCTTTTTCTTAAGTTTTCAAATTGTTCATATATTTTGACCTAACAGTTCTACCTCCAGGAATTTACTGTAGGAAAGTATTTAAGTATATATGTAAAGATTTAATTAAAAGGCTACTCCTTCAAGTTTTCAAAATGGAAGGGAAAAAATCAATTTCTATGAATAAAGGATTGATTATGAAATAGAATACCATGTGACTATTAAAATAGTAAAATATTACAGAAGTATTTTCATAGACATGGAAAGATTGATTATAAATTTGTAAGTTAAAAATGAAAGTGATAAGTATGTAAGTAAAATGATTATAAAATAATTTTTATATAATATACATAAAATATGGAATAATGTACATCAACAAATTTGAGTAGTTATCTCTAAGTGATGGAATTGTAGTGATTTTTTTATCCTTCATTTTACTGTGTGTATTTTCTGATTTTTCTACTCAGCATATTTTGTTATATATACTACTTGATCATTTCTTTTAAAACAAAAGTAATTTCAGAAATTTTCTAATACAGCCCTTTCTTTGTGCATTTAAAGAAATTAAGGTCTCAGATCCAGAGTTTAAAAGTGCCTAAACTAGGACTCGATCTTCTGGCTCTGAGTTCAGAGTTATTTCTGTTGCACAATGCTTTGCCTTTTAACTCTGATTAAATGGTAATGTTGGGTTGGCCAAAACATCTATTTGGGTTTAACCCAATACTTCAAGGCAAGGGCTATAATATGCTCACATTTTCTCCCCCTAGTAATTCTCCTGGTGTCTAGCCACACAGCAAACCTTTGGGGAATACTCACTGGATTGATTTTCTTGTGGAATAGGGTGCAGTATTTTTATGAATCTTATTTTTCATAACATACAAACACTGACCTGGTTGCATGTTCATTTTTAAAACCCTGCTGTGAAATCTTCCTTTCTCTTTTCACATGATTTGCCTTTAGAAGGCCCTCACTTGTTGCTCCCCCTCTCTGTTAGGCTGTGGGGCTCCTTTGTGAGGAGATAGGCCGTCACCCAGCGTGTGGTGAGATGGCGTCTCTCCCGTGGCAGCAGGACTCTGCCGTCCCCGGGGCTCCGTCCCTGGGCTGTCGGCGGCCGGCACTGTGCTGCTGAGGCCCCTCGCCGGCGCCCTGGCGTCAGCTGGCCCTCCGCTGTCTGTCCAGGGTGTGCACCTGCCTATCTCTTCCCCCTTTCCCCTCTGTCCCCTTGCTCCCTTTCACAGACCATCTTGGACATTCTGTATCCAGTGTTCCTTCCTCTTCTTAATCTGAGTCATTGCTCATAACCGTGCTGTCTTCACTGCCTGCTTTAGCTTTTCCAGTTCAGCTCCCCCTCAGGCTCCACTCCTTTCTTCCTGGCTCCTCTGTTCATCTCTGACTATGCTGTCCTGTCCCATTTTATGCAGCTTCCAGCTCGCTCATTTCCAGCTGTCCTCCTCGCCACTTCCCTTTTCTGTTTTTCTTCCTCGTTTTCGTCCCGCCAGTACCATTAACCCCTCCTCTCACTGTCTTCCCTCCTTACCCCTCTGAGATCCTTGACCGCTCTGACGGTTCCTTACAGATGTGTGTAGGGTCTCTGGGTGGCTTGTGCTCAGCATCTGCTTGAGCCGCTGTCCCCTTTTTATCAGACCCTAATCTGAGGCAAGCCTTACATGCTTACCATATGCCCACCAGGACAGGGTGTTGTCCTTTCTTGCCCCTGGGGAGATTGCACCTTGGCACACCACACCTGCACCGTTTTAAACTCTACCGCACTTGCATTTGTGGGCATGTTCACTGGCAACATTTCGGGCCTTCTATACATCATGCTAATTTAGCAAATTTAAAATCAGGACACAATGTCTGACACAGGATTTTTTCCCCCTTGTGTAAATGTTTTTCATATGAAAGGGTAGTACAGCCAGTTATTTAAGACGGGGCCATAAACTGTAATGGAAAAGAATATGAAAAAGAATATATATATATATGTTTGGCTGGGTCATTTTACTGTATAGCAGAAATTAACACAACATAGTACATCAGCTATGTCTCAATAGAATAAATTTAAGAAAATAAAAGGTTGGGCCTGACCTTAAAGGCACAGATGTTCCCTAGCCCTTCTGGTTAGGGTTCAGCAATGGTTATTAGCGCCTCCTTTTTTCCAGTGCAATGCTCTAGTCTCTGCTTTTCTCAGGAGTGATCAATGGAATTGACCACAGCTAAGCAATTAGCCATCATCCTTAGACTGAAGTTTGTTTCCTGAGAGCAACCAAATGTTAAGCCATTTCTGTTTAGAGGGAAGACAGAACAATTGTGTGTAAGTCCAGATACTCATCACTGATACATGAACAATTGCATTAAAAAATTTCAGGTTCAGTCCCTCGTTTATCACCCTGTAATCGTGGTATACTTACCACATGGCCTCTAAAGAAGCAACTTCTTGTTTCATCTGCCTGTTGGTTCTTGATTTTTATTAATAGTATAATTTGTTTTAGTTCAAAGCTGCATCTAGATATATAGTTAGCCATCACTATCTTGCTCAATCAAAAATGATGCATGCCATTTTGGGGATTTATTGGAAAAACCATCATAGTTAACCCACTTCTAAAAGTAGACACAGTCATAGACTAAATGAAAGAGTGCTGTTTAATAAAATGCCCTATATGCTTTCCAGTCAGTAACCCTGAAGCAGCATCCATGACAGTTTTTTTCCAGCTAATGAAGAATTTCATAAACTCTGATTGCCTGCACTTAATTTTGGAAGTTACCCAAGGTTTGCAGTACTTATTGTCTATATTTGAGAGATGTATTTCTTTCTTGCTTAAATTAACTGATCAGTGCTGGAGCAGGCCTTAAGCAGCTGCTGATGATACTGAAAGACTTTAACAGTTTGTTCAAGAGGCAAGCTAGAATTTAATTCTACAAGTTAAACTAAGAGTGCATTCAAGAAGACAAATCCATATGTTGGTCCTCTGGTTGCGTGTGCGTGTGTGTGTGTTGAACACTGTCTTATTACCTGTGTTGTTGCCTGGGCGTGCCAAGATTATTGTAATCAAAAAACACTAAGTTCATTTAGTACATCATGTGTCATTTTCTCCTAGTAAAGAGCTGAAGAATGAAGAGGGAAAGAACCAAATGTATAGAAAGGAAATGGCAAATTAAACCAAATGGAATTTCTCGTCAGAGTTCAGAAATTTCAGATGGCCAGGAAGAAAGGATCTACTACGTTTTATCCTTATGAAAGAATCTAGAAAAATCAGAAGCAAGGTATGGGTGGAGAAATAAATGTGGCCTTTTGAGCTTGTTACAAACCATTGTGTTTGTTGTTGATCAAAATAATGGCACTTGCATTATTAGTAATTGCATCAAAATTACATTACCATTGTTGGAAAATCAATAAAGAAAAACTATAATTGCTACTCAGCAAGTAAGAAGAAAAAGTGTTGGTATTGCTAAAATGTCTATTAAGTTTAATATTATTATATTTGTAATGTGGTTATATGTGTGATGTTATGCTCGGATTTGAAATATATGCTATTGAAACTTAACTTTATTTAAAATAAAGATAAGCAGCTTCAGGATTTTGTGTATTCAAAATGTTCCAAATAAGAAAGGCATTAAAAGGTAACAAATGTGTTTGTTTTGAATGAATCGTATGTATAACTTGATACACATAAACTAAAAGTGGCTTTTGGCTAGACTGGCAACAGTTTTCCAAATATTTTTTTACTTTTTAAAAAAAGGTGTTTCATGTTGAAGCATGTAAGTGATTTGTAGTCTTAAATTTTTTTTATATTTATTTGTCTTAACACATGTTTTTAAATTTTTACATTGGATTATTTATTCCTTTAGTTCCAGAGTAACAGTGTCATATTTGACTATGTATTTTGAAGTGTGAGGTTATAAAATAGGAAATTTCATCTCTTTGTGTTTTACTTGGCTCTTCTTTTTCAACTGTGTGACTGTAAGTCTGTCAATAAATATTTAACCTCAAGAAGGTCAAGACTAATATAAAATTAGAAAACTTATTTACCAAATTAGACAACTGATTCCATTAAAATAAGAAGTGAGAAAAACAGTGTTGGGCACTGAGGTGTAAATTTTGCCCAGATGTATACCCCATGTGAAGAATCTTCTAGTAAAAATATATTTGACTCTTCCCCTGCACATGTTGTAGAAGTATGAAAACTGGTAAACATGTCCCCACTGTGTAGAAATTGGGGCAGAGGGGTCACTGGTGAAGTGATGAGTGTCAGTGATGACTGCTGGGGCCCTCGGCGATAAGCACAGAAGTGTGTTCTGATAGCACCAAGCTCCCCTGTTTTGGATGCATGTGTCTCTGCTTCAGGTACAGCTGGACCCAGGCAGCCTGAGTCACCCTTGCACCAGCCTGTTTTTTCTTCTAGTGAATGTACTTGATAATTAAAAAATAAAAACATGTGGCTCTCTGGAGTTTTAGCTTTCAGTTTTGAGATATGTGTTGGTTCTCTGATTTGGGCTTTAACTACAAAGAATTTAAACAAGTTTCAAAAAGATTCTTAATCAAGATGATAATGAAATAATATGTCAGAGGAACTAACATTTGCTGAGACCCCAACGTTCATATGAAAACTAAAGGACTGTTTTTATATTGCAATGACTGAAGACAAACTAACAATTACGACAAACACCAGGAAAAGTTGTTTCTGCTCAAAGCCCATTTCTTTTCTTTTCTGTCCTGTTGACAAGACAAGACTTGGGTTATCCATGAATACATAAAAAAAAGTCTTCACCACCCTTGCTAATGTGAGACAGAGTAGGGTGGGGGAGATAATAAAAGTGCCCTCCAAGTAATAAGTCCAGATTATAATCAAGCAGAGAAATCAGACATAGGAATCTATTTGAAGGGCTTCCCTGGTGGCTCAGTGGTAAAAAGTCCACCTGCTAATGCTGGAGACTCGGGTTTGATCCCTGATCTGGGAAGATCCCACATGCCCCAGAGCAACTAAGCCAATATACCACAACTATTGAGCCTGTCTCAAGCCTGGGAGCCACAGCTCCTGAAACCCACATGCCTTAGAGCCTGTGCTCAGCAACAGGAGAAGCCAGCGCAACGGGAAGCCCTCCCACGGCAACTGGAGAGGAGCCCCTGCCCGCCGCAACCCGAGAGAAACCCAGGCGGCAGAGAAAACCCAGCACAGCCCAAAATAAAAAACACTTATTAAAAAAGAATCCACTGGAAGATTTATAACACTGCATATTTACTTAGTAATAAATTCATTTTGTTTTATTTTTATTCTAAAATTACTGAATTTTATCCCATTTTATAGTCTCTTTTCTCCAAATAAGTAACAATTTGACACTATCTTTTCTAGATGTAAGTAATGTCATTCTTTAAATTTATTTCCCAATTATTCATTCCACTATATGTTGAAGATTCAAGTTTCTTCAGCACCAAAATTATACAATGAATAGGATTTGTAAAGCTAGACTAAAAAGCAAGTTTTAGAAAGATTTAAAACATGAAATATTTTATACTATGAATGCAAAATTCATGTTTAAAATGCACCTTTTAAATATGAAATTAGTGTGTTTTTAAATGGCAAACACTTCATACTTTTGAAACCTTGTGTAAGGTTTCTTTCAAAAAAAAAAACAATGAATACTTGACCTTAATTTTATTTCTGTTATAGAAATGTTTTATCAAAGAAAGATATTTTTCTCTTTAGGAAGTTCAGCAAGACTATCTGGGAAATAATTTACCATTTGTAACTATATATGACATGTTATTTTAGTCATATATTTAAGTGACAAATACTGTTCAGAGGGTTTGAAAGTTCTAGAAACTATAATAAAAAGTCATGACCTTACACTTTTATCATAATTTCAGTGATTTCCATCTGAGGTCCATATCTGTTAAGTAAATTATGGGAACATTTTTCACCAGTCCAACTTTTTAAAGCTTGTATTTACTGATTTCTACCTTGTTCAACTTAACTAAAGAAGAGAGTCCCCAGATCTGCACTTCATGTACATGACCTCATTTACTCTTCACTTTAAACCCAGGAGAAGATAAAATCTTCCATGCTGCAGATAAGGAAACCAGGGCTTTGAAGGTTAAGTATCTTGTCCCAGTGCACATGGTCAGTAAATGCTCACTGTCCATGGAGGTTTGTCAGACTCCACTGGGAGGTCTTGAAGGGCCCCACCCACCTCAGGTGCTGGGTAAAATGAGGCAGTCACACCTGGAGTCTGTCTCCAGCCCACACAAGAGTAAGGAAGCAACCTGATGCACCTACAACCACACTCAGAGACTAGAAACATCTCCTGTGTCTTTCATGCAGCAGTGACCTACATAAAGTGAAATACCATCTTTGAGTAAAATTAAGAAAAGAAAAAAAAAAAGCCCTGATGCCTTTATCCCATCACTGTTTTGCAAGATCTTTACTCTGTACTATAATTCTTACTTTTTTCTAAGAAATCAATTCTATGGAATCAAATTTATACATGTACAGTAACATATTATTCAAGAAAACATAAAAGGCGCCATCCCAGTCACATAAGAGAAAATAAAAACATCAAGAGTCATGTCAATCAAAAGGCTCTGTTGAGTGGCAAACTCAGTCTATGGATGGACCCAATTATCTGCAGGAGAATTGGATGTCAGCATCATTTAGGGTTAACAATGGACCTACTAGGCAAAAGTAGACAGCTACTCTCTTTAGAGACCCGGAAAGCGAACTTGGTAATGAGGTACTGCATTCATCATATCTTTCTGCTCTAGTTATTAAAATGAATAGGAAATACTTTTAAGTTAAGGCGGGAACTGGATAACATAAAAACATCTGTTTTGTAAACACAAAGAATGCTTTTTTCTAATGATCCTCTTCAAATCTACATCAGGCATATGTTGTGAGCCCCCTCTTTTCGAAAGTTGCTCTTCTAACACCTCAAATTCATTCTGATTATGGATGGGTTATTTTGATGGTCTCAGAACAGGAAGGGTAAATTTGCTAAGAATGTACAATTTTACTCTACTCACAATCTAAAGGGGGTTCAGAAGTAAGTACATATATAAGAACCATGCATAACACATGTTCTCCCTCTATTACAAAATGGTCCAACTTAATATACTTCAATGTCGTTTCTATCTATAAGTACTAAACAGTTTGATTTTTACTCATGATAGTTCACTTTTTCTTAAATTATCACTTGGTTCTTTGTGAAGAATTGTGAAAAAATTTTGTAGAGGAAAATACAGGAATTTTTTTTAATGCAACAGATATATAAGTACACCTACATTGCCAGTCTTTAAAGTTGCTTGAAATGAGATGACTTGAGAGGGGAAAATCATAGTTAAGGAAAAAAGAAAGTAAAAAAGAGGACAAAGTAAGCTGGTGAGGAAAATAGATTGTTGCCATGTTAAAAATGAACAACTGAAGCTTGTGAAAAAGCAGTCTCAAAACCAAAGGGAGAAGGTTCCCTGGAGGAAAATGTGGTTGCTTCAGTTGTTTAATGTTTTCAACTGAGAATCAATAATTAATTTTTTTTTTCTATTTGCTCATGGGACCATTTTATAGAAACACTCCACACAACTTTTTACGGAGATACAGTTCTTCAGTTTCAAATAAATGGAAGGTGGCTAAGCACTGTGATGTTTTTAACCATCTCTGCCTGTTTTACAGAAGTTAATGTTCAGAAGTTTCTGCAGATGCTACTTTTAGCAACTAAATATTTCCATAGTGGTAAAGAAATGTCAGTGAAATCTATGTACTTTAAGAACATCAAATTCTTATTATACTTATCATGTGTGCAGGCAGAGTACATAATAAACTAGTCTATAGCAGCTGTAAATTTCTGAGGATTTATCTAACCACAAATACATTGAAATGGGGAAATGGGGCTATATTAAACTAAGCAAGATGCTGCTGGAGCTTTGCCATTTCTGCAACATCCTGTAATTAATTTCTCATGACAGGTCTGGCAAACTGAAATATCCAATATACTTGCGACAGACTGTTAGACGATAGTTGCTGCAAATCCTACAGTTCCATGAAGTGAAGGTAGTTTCTTCTTTCGGACATGAATGTAGATAGAGCATCCTGTGGCCAAGAACAGACTTGTCACTTTTTAATTTTAAAATAAAGAAGATCTAGACTATAGAAAAGATCCTGAGCTGAGAGATTGCCCTGTTCTCTGAGTTGTATGGTCTTTTTGGAAGAGGAACTGCCCTGTGTAGGGGAATGATACAGTCAGGTCACCCTTGGCATGCATGTCTGGGGTCGATATGACAGGATTCTCTCCTGGGAGATTTGAGGTCAGTTCTGTCTCGAACTCATCCTCTGCCTATAAACAAAATTCACAAGAACTCCTTCTCCATCTGTGTGTCATCCTCTTCTGATAGCCACACTCCTGCCATTTTGCAAACTCAGAGCAGAAATAAATACAGAAATTATCCCTGCTCAAACCTAGAGAAAGAAAAAAAAAAAGTAATTTTTTTTTTAACCAAAATAGACTTTCCCATATAACAATAAATTCTTTGCTCATATTGGTGTGAAAGAATGTTCCTCTCTACTTGATGTGTATAATCTGATACAGGTATTAAGTGATTGGTGTTAAGGATGGACCCTTAGCAAACAAGGGTCCTTCTTTTGAGGGAGTGGAGATTTTGCACCTAAAAAAATGAAATCAACAGTGTATCAGTGTCCACAGTCCTGCCCATTTCCTTTGGAAGGTCAGAGTTTCTCAGACTACAAACAAGAGAACCCAAGGAGGTCTAGGAACCTTGAATCTGGACGTTTTCATGAGAAGGGAAAAGTTCCAGGTGGTAATGACTAGGATGTGTCTTGCTTGTTGGAGAGGCATTCTCACCTCGCAGGCAGGCAAGGGGCAGCGGTTCCAGCCCAGCTGCCAAAGGCCGCCTGTAAACACGGTGGAGTTTGTATCTTCTCCAGGGATTGTCTTTCCCTTTATCCTTGCTACTGAAAACATGTCCTATTCAGAGGACCTGAGAAGTCTGTTCCCTGGGGCCAAGTTTTAGAGAAGAGCAACCAGAGAACCCCAAACTGAAAAACTGGAAGGGGAAAGTGAAGGAGAGACCACACAGGAATGCCTCCGTATCCTTCCACTCTCCTCTCCAGGAGAAAAGCGCCCTTCAGAGCTCTTCTATATAGAGCTCTGGAAATGGAAGAAAGAGAGATCAAAACATAAAAACGAAGATCCTTCTTTCACATACTTGTCCAGGGTCACAGAATCCAGGGGCAGGACCCCGCCTTTTCCCTGTTTGCTTAAGAATTATTCCTATAAATTCAGTCCTGTGCACTCTGATACCAGGAAACTCTCAAATGAAATTCAGTCACCTCGGAAGTGACAGCAAAAGTTAGAAGCATGGTTGATACCTGAAAGTCCAGACCACTGAGCACAGCAAAGACCCGCCCTTACCCTCAGTCATTCATGTCATGACTGCATGTGGA